GCCCGTCCCTGGAGCCCGCTCAAGCAGCATTTTCACTGGTAACAGAAAGTGGCAGTCTTAAGGGGGCAATTCTTTGTAAAGGGTCCCTTAGGATTGGGGTCTAGGGTGGAGAAACTCAGAGCCCAGCTACTCCTGTGGCCTCCGAGGCACAGTGTGAGCGACCTGGGGACTCATGCCAGGCATTCCTTCATGGGCCCTAAGCCCCCGCCCCCCCCCCCCCCCACCCCGCCCTGAGACGACACAGTGCAAGTCACCCATAGGTCTCCTGCCACACAGAGCTAAAGAACTTCAGAGAAACCTTGGTGGACATACACCCCAAAACTCTCATTTTTCCAGTGAGGACGCTGAGGTCCCAACAGCTTTGTTTGACACTGGGGCACCCACCCTGTCAACTGTAACCTGTATAAAAACACCTACATTCGGGGCTTTGGATTCAGAGCCAGCCATAAACAGAGGAAGGGGGGCTAGGAGACAGATGAGGAGGGATCAAACTGATCGACCTCAGCCCCCAAAAGGCCTCCATCTCATTTGTGAAATGAACAGGCTGGACAGATGTTCCCTAAACCTCTGATGGCCTCGGGTTCCATGGGGGCCAAGAAGCTGGGCATGGGACAGGGGTAGGGGGCCGAATCAGCATGGGGCCATAGGGGAGCTCTGTGAAAAGTCATCTGTTACTTCCATCCATTCGGCATCTCGTTTTTCATATCTTAATCGCATCAGAATGATGGATGGTCACGGATTACAGATTACAGATTACAACCCCAGATTACATCATGGGGTTAATTTATTACATTTTTGAATACCCACTTGCTGGGAGACTGTTTTTCAAAGGTATTTGCATATCTTTCACCATAACAACAATGTGTAGGAGGGCATCTGGGAGGGAAGGATGGATGTTTAGGAGGGGAGAGAGCTTATTTGCCAACTGAAGCAGGTTCCTGAGGGTCTGCAATGGGAACAGAGAGCAAATCACTCCCTAGAGACATTTAAATTGAAACTAAGAGAAGGTGAGATGCAAGAAAGTTTTGCAAAGACTGCACGGGTGAAGGAAGATTCCTGGGGTTCACTGAACAGCACACAGTGAGTGAATGGGGTATAATAACAAGCAATGAAGTGTCCAGACCCCTAAGATGCTTCCAGAGTCCCTCCCATTCTCACCATCCTGATCACAGGACATATTATCCATCCCATCCCTGCCTAAGGTTCCCAGGACACCAAACACAGGGAGGTGGGAGGAGCCACAGAGTCAGCACGTATAGCCCGGTGACAATCCCACTGATACCACGATATTCAGGAACCCAGCCAGCTGGGATGCCCCCTGAGCAGAGGCCCAGCCTCATTCATTCTCTTAGTCCAGCACCTCACCAGTGCCTGGCCAAATCCAGGCTCTGAATGAATGTGTGTCCAATGAGCAAATGAAAGAATGAAGACGTGAAATGATGGTGGGCAGTGTCTCACTGCCACTTGCCTGACGTGAATCCTAATTTAGTCTGGATGAGGGGCAAAGACCTCTGATTTCAGTGCTTGGGCTCTAGGTGGTGGTGTGCAGAGAAAAGCTGCTTTCACAAATGAAGCAAGAGCTGCGGATTACTCACTACGGTGCCCCTCACACCCACTGGGCTGCTGCTTCTCTCCCCACCACTGCCCCTTAACCAGCTGTGAGGCCTTCCCTCTCTGAGTCTCAATTTCCTCACCTGTAGAATGGGATCATGGCAGCACCAATTCCACAGAGTTGAGTAAGAAGTAAGTGAGATAATGTTTGTAAAACTATAAAGTGCACAATGCCTGGCACATAAATGCCTAATTACTGGCTGTTATGACAATGATGTTAAGATTGACACACACCTTGCTAGCTTCGGCAACACATATACAAAAATTGGAACGATACAGAGGTTAGTGTGGCCCCTGTGCAAGGACGACACGCAAATTTGTGAAGCGTTCCACGTTTTTCTAAAAAAAGAGTGGATATATGTGTATGTATAACTGATTCACCTTGCTGTACACCTGAAAGCTATCACAACCTTGTAAATCAACTATACTCCAATAAAAATTCTAAAAAAAGATCGACACACACTATCTAAGCCCCTAGAGCAAACACTCTGAACCAGCCATCATGCCTTTCAAATCCCCATCCAAAACATCCGGAGCTGTGCCCCTCTTGCCAGTTCCATTTCCCAAGGCAGCAGGCAGCCCCCAAGATGCCCTTAAGGTGGGCATGCATCCTCATGGCCCGAGATGCCTAAAGACAAGTGGCTGCGGCTGAAGACAGCTCTTCTCCCCACTCGTCTAGTCTTCTGGTGTGAGGCCCAACCTGCCCAGCTGCCCCAGATCCTGGGGTCCACTGCTGACCTCAGACCCAGGTCAGAGCCCTGACCTTAGGCCAGTAACACTGGGCGGCTTCCAATAGTCCAACCGGGGCAAAGCCCGCATGCCATTCCGTCCCTGAAGTTCTGCTGATTCCGCAGTGTCATTGACACCTTGTTGGTCAGGGGGACCTGACAGGTCATCTTTTCTTAAACTTTGAACTTTTATCCACAGAAATGCACAGAGACACTAAATGTTTTCCACAATTTTAGGGGTTGCCGGGACCTCTGAAGTCATCCTCAACCACAGGGTAAGAACACTTGATCCAACTCAACTGCCACTTTTTAAAAATAACTGCTTTATTGAGATATAATTCACAAACCATAAAGTTCATCCTTTTAAAGCAGGCAATTCAGTGGTTTTTAATATAGTTGCAAAGTTGTGCGTCAATCACCACTATCTAATTCCAGAACATTACCATCATCCCAGAAAGAAAACCCCCCGCATACACTGGCAGCCACTTCCCCAATCTCGCCTTCTGCCAGCCCCTGGCAACCAACCACTAGTCTACTTTCTGTCTCTATGGACTTGCTTATTCTGAACATTTCATGTAAATCATGTGGCCTTTTACGTCTGGTTTGTTTCACGTAGCATTCATGTTTTCAAGGTTCACCAAATTGCGGCATGTACTGGTACTTCATTCTTTTTGTGGCCAAATAATATTCTGCTGTATGAATATACCACATTTTGTTTATCCACTCCTCACGTGATGGATATGTGAGTTGTTTCCACTTTGGCCATTCAAACATGGGGAAACAGACCCAAAGTCACCATAACCTAGATGGGATAGGAGTACAGACCTCTCTCCTAACATCCACCTTTTCCTGCAGCATTGCTCTGGGAGGACCCAGAGAACAGAGAGTCCAAGCATGGCAAAAGATCGCCCCACTGGCGAATAGCCATTGCAACAGCATTTGAACCAGAGGATCCAATAACTTGCTTCCGGTTCAGTAAATGCTGGGCCACAGCTTCATCCTTGACAGAGAGAATCATACCCACTGTCCCCCTCCCAGGCCCAAGCCACCATCACCTCTTCTCTGCCACTGTTCCTAGCTGTTCTCCCTGCTTTTGTCCTTGCCAAATGCAGTCTATTCTCAACTTTGGGAATCAGAGTGAATTTGTTAAAACCTAAGTCAGATCATGTCTCTGCTCTGCTCACAACCCAATCCATCCTCGTGCCTGCCCATCAGGCTGATAATATCACGATAACAATAGCAGATAACTATTCTAGAGCATATCCTGTGGGGTCAGGACCTTAGGAACATTATCTCCTTACACAGGCCACTGCACTTAATCCTTGAGCCCTGAGAGTTACGGATAACGGTGAGCTCAGAGAGGTTAGGACCCTTGCCCAAGCCTACGGGGAATGAATGACAGCAGAAGAGGGGCCCAGGCATCTAACCCGACTACAGAGCGGAGCTCTTAAAACTCTGAGCCATAATTTGCCACGCTGGAGAAAGAAGAAAACAGTCGAAATGGAAGCCGCTGGGCCAGCTCTGGGCGCCAGGCAAGACTGCTGCTTCCCGCGAACGCGGGCCCGCCCCACCGCTCTCTGATCTTTGCAGCGCCTGCGGCCCCCCTGACCCCGCGGTGAGTTATGGGGGCCGCGGGACCCATAACACAGCATTCCGGGACTCCCAGGGTCGGCATGACGCGGCACCCTGCTCTGTGATGGATGAGCCACCCCTAGCGCTGGCTTTGTCCTGCCTGGGCCGGGTTGGGGACCTACTTTGGACGGGGCGTGGCGAGAGGCGGACCGCGCGCGCGCGCGCGCGCGTGTATGTGTGTGTGTGTGTGTGTGTGTGTGTGTGTGTGTTGGGTAGGGGTATTGTCTTTTTCCCTTCCCTCCCAGGGTGTGTGAGTGGGGAGCGGACACTAGCGCAGCCGTCAGTGCTCCCCAGTCTCACCTGGTAGCGCTTTGAAGACCCCCCTGGACCCCCACGTCGAAGAGCGACCCCTCCCTGAACCTCGCCCCCAACTCTGCGCACTTTCGGAGGCTACTGAGGCCCCGCGGTGCCCCGTTCCTCCTCCCTCGCACAGGGCATTTCTTCCGTCCCATTTGACAGCCTAGGCGGAATAATCCTTTTGGGGAACCGCCGGCCTCTGCGCTGCACAGACGCTGCCGCAGCTGAGCGCTCAGCTCCGATCCATTGTTGGGGTCCGCCAGGGACCCCCTGCCGCGGCCCTTTGTCGCCCGCTCCCTGCTGGGCCGCTCCAGATGCGCCACCGCTGCCCGCGCCCCGCCCGTCCCACGCGCCCCGGGCCGCGCCGAGGCGGCTCTTCCGCACCGGGAGGAGTGGGCCCGCCTCTCCCGGTGCCTGCACGGCCGCCCGGCTGCGCCCGCCTTTGTCTACCTTCTTTGTCTGCCCCGCGCCTTCGCGGCGGCGGCGGCTAGGCCTCTGGGGAGGGGTCCCGGAACGCCGAGCGCAGCTGGCGAGGGCGCGCTGGCTGGGAGCGCGCGGGGCCCGGCCCGGCCCGGCCCGGGGCTGCCCCTCGGCTGGGGGCAGTGGAGCCCGCTCGCCGCCGCCCCTCCCCCGTCCCCTCCGCGTGCTCCCGCCCCCTTCCTTCACGCCCGCCCCTCCCCCTTCCCTCCAGCCCAGCTCAGCCTCGGCACATCCTCCTGCCGCCCGCGCACCTCTCCGCGCGGTCCCGGCTTCGCGGCTCGGCCTTCCGCTGCGCTCGGCTCCCGCAGGCGCTCGGCCCCGCGCCCCTCGGCCCCTGCCCCGCCGGTTGGACAGGTAAGGCTTGGCCTTGGCCCGCCCCTGGCTCCGCCCTCCCACCTCACCTGGCTGCGCGCCGGGACAAAGGTGGGCTACCTGGAGCGCTCAGGGGCGGGGCGCGCCGGGGACTGAGGCTGGAGGTGAGGATGCTGCTTTCCTCCCTGCCCTCCCGGCCCTCGGACCCGTCGGTCAGTGGGTCCGCCGCCTCCGCTCCTCGCCGCGTCTCCCCTCGGCTCCTGGCTCTGCTCCTGGGGCCCTCATCCGCCCGCCTTCCGCCGGACACTCACTTTTCCACGTTCTGACACTGCCTAGCGTGCGCCCTTGCCGCCCTCTTTCGGACGCGGCTCTCGCCCACTCTCCTCCTCGGCACTAGCCTTCTCCCTCTGGGACCCGGTCTCTCTTTGTCTCTCTGTCTCTGAGTCTCCCGGTGGTCTCTCAGGCTGGGGACCCCAATCTGACATCGTTTGAAGAAGATTGGAAGATTCCCTAAGCTCCGGACAGAGCTGGCAGGAGTGCCCTCTGCTTCTTTCGAGGCTGCCTACGGGGCTGGGGTGTGTTGCAGGTAGAGGGAGGTTCCGGCTGCGCCCCCCGCCAGCACTGCCCAGTTCCTCGCGCTAGCAACCCCGACAGCGCTGGCCTCGCTCTTCTGGCCCCGGCTCAGGCTCCCTCCCTCTCCACTGCTGGCTTTTCTCCAACCGCGCGCCGGGGTCTCAGGCTCCTTCGGGAGCCGAGGTTTGAGTGGTGAGACTTCTTGGGTTTCCCGCCAAGTCTTGCCTTACTACACTGCGTGCTCCCTCTGCCCTCGCCTCTGTCTGGTCTCTCTTGCATGGAGCCGTCTTCCATGCTGCCCACCTCCCAGCCTGGTGGCATGCAAGAAGTGTCCCAGTACTGGTTCAGTACCACCCCTCTGGGGTCAGGCAGACGGAGGCTGAGGGAGTGACCTTGGACAAAGGGATGCACTTCTCTGAGCCTCAGTGCCCCCTTCATAAAACGGGGATAATAGCACCTACCTACAGGGATATATGTGAAAGCAGTGAAAAAAACATATCGGATGCCAGCGAGGCACACACTCGGTGGCCACGGGGGATTCTACAGTCCCAGTCCCTGGGTGGGGTGGGGATAGGGGGTCCACAGAAAGGGGGAAATGGATCAAAAATTCAGGCTTAGAGACACTGCAGAGAAACCTGACTGTGGCCCCTCCCGTATCATGGTCACCTCCCCCTACACACTGTTACTGGCACTCTTCTTTCTTTCTCTCCCTCCTCCTCTCTGCTTGTCCTAAAATCGGAGCTTAAAAATCAGAAAGAAAAGAGTGTCTGCTTTCAAAATGAGATCAATGTGGCTGTGTCGATGTTGCCAACAGCTGGTCATTGATCATGAGGCATCCATGTGACTCATTCCCAATTCTGAATCTCTGTCTTGCACCCATTTCTTTTTTAATGGCTCTCGCTCACGAGCCATTTCCTTTCCTCTGGGGGGGATTGTCTTTTGGACCCTGCACCTGTTGTGTAATCACCCAAACCCTCTGACCGTCGTCTATGTCATCGCGACAGGTGACACACCACCCCAGGAGTCGGGCAGTGATGTGGGCTTAGGGCCATAATGAGGGCAACTTCGGAAGAGGGACATCTTCTCCCGGCTGGAAAGTTCCAGGTTCCCCTAGCTGAGCTTTTTTTTCAGCCACAGCCAGAGCTAGCAGCTAGTGCCTTTCTCTTTAGAGAGGCAAGAATGGGACTGGAAACACCCACAGACACACACACACACACACACACAGACACACACACACACCCCATGCAGACTCCTGCTCACAATCCTTTCTGCCACTTTCTCTGCCTCCCTTCCCACCGTTCAATTCACCCTGCTTCGCATCCCTAAATCCCTCCATAGCTCCCTGTTTCCACTAAATTAACTATGCTGCCTGCCTCCCATCACACCCCCTGTCGGCATCTTGGGTTTCAGCCATGACGGAGGGCCGATCATCTCCACGCCCTGACTGCCTCCGAGCTTTTGCTAGGGCTCTCCCCTCTAACTAAAATGTGTCCCCTTGCAGGCCAAGGTCAGATGGCCCCCCCTTGCCTCCCTGTCTCTCCCGTGGTCTGCACTTCCCTGGGCGGGGCTGGGTCCTGTTCCACTTGGGTTTCCAGTGCCTGAGACACAGCAGGCACACAGCAGCACAGCACGTGCTCTGTCCATATTTGTTCTAATATATGGAATCCTTGGCCAAGGAGATAGGAATGAACTGACAATTGCAAGCCACAGGTTATCCGTGGGTTCCACTGGGTCCTGCTGGCCAGGCCAGGGGCAGAGTTGGCCCTAGGGCAGACTGGTGAGGTTGTGGAGCGGGGAGCAAGCCTCCTGGAAAGTCGCTGTGGTACTGGGGGCTCTGCACGCCTCCAGAAGATGAGGATGATTTCTGTGCCTGATGCGAGCAGAGGAAATCGGCTAGACAGGGAACTGACTGCCCAAGTTCAGCAGACTAGCTTAGCAGCTACGTGACCTGGACCTTCACTTGCCTCAGCCAGAAACGTGGCAGAGCTGGGGTTTGCATCCTGGCCTCCCTGACTCCACAGCCTGGGAAGAGCACGAGCTGGGCATGTTCCCGGGATGGGGAGGTGTCATACTAACATCTCTCCACTGGCCCATTCAGGTGCCATCCGCCTCTCTTGCTGTTCCAGGCCCTCTGCTTGTCCTACCCCAGCCCTTCCTCTCACGTGGGCCACCATAGCCAATGGAACACAGGCCTCCCCAGGAAGGACCCTGCCACTAGAGGCCCTGCCCCGCTCATACCAGTTCCCAGCTTTGGCAGCCTCGCACACCGCAACACCATGGCCTGGCATTGACCATCTGGGACACATCCCTGAGTGAGTGTAGGGGTACCGGTGCTAGAATCCAGAGCAGTTGGGATAAAGTAATTGCAGACCTCAAGTTTTTAGGGGCCCCCTCTGTGCCAGGCTCCGGGTTAAGGCCCCCACCACGTGTCATCCCTGAAAGTCACAGCGTCAGCACTAGTATTAGTTACCGAGTTAGCATGAGGCGTGGTCAAAGAGTCTGCCTTTGGAGTCAGGTGGCCACAGGTTCAAATCCCAGCTCTACCACTCACTCTACTGTGTAACCTTGAGCAAATCCTTCAAATCTTTGTCCCCATGTTGAACCATTGTTACTATTGTTATTACCTGAAAAGTACTGTCCACTTCAATGGGCTGAATTATAAACTAGGTAATACATAGAAAGCTCTAAGCCTAGAGTAGCTGGTACCCTAGAAATGACACCCAAGCAAACATTCATTTTTCAGGTGTGGGATTGAAGCCCGGAGAGGTTAATTGACTTGCCCAGGGTCATACAGCTATTAAATGCTGGAGCCAGGATTCACACCCAGGCTTGTCTGACTCCAGGTGTCTTTCTACTCCACACTGAGCTCTGCCAGAACTGACAGTGGGCATTTTGTCACTCGATTAAGTGATGGGTGCAACCAAATTGTCTGGGAGCCAAGATAATGAAATTTGGGGAATAGGGGGCCAGGAGGATGGCTTAGGAGAGGAGGAGGGGTGGCGAGTACCTGTAATGTAGCAGGAGGCAGGACTCCGCTCCCTCCCCCCAAAACAACAGGCCTACATCAGTTTTCCCGAGGTGTGAGGCCTCAGGGGGGTGGGAGTTCCCAAGGCTGCTGTTGGAAATAATAAAAGCAGATGGTGCTGCCCCTGCGGAAAGCCAAACCTCATTTGCCAAGACAATGGTCCCCTCCAGGCTGGCCCGGGCCTGTGTTGACCTGCCCCACCGAAGCCATCCATCACCCCACCGAGGACTGAGGACGTGGCCACCTGTGCCTGCCCCCATGCACACGCAGGCACAGATGCACAAACACTTCCAGGAACCCACCCCCAAGCCCCACTCCCGCTCTTTCCCCTCCTCATAATAACAACAGCTACTGTTTATTGCACCCTTACTGGGTACCACTCACTCTGTATACCTTTGCCTCCCCTCATTCTCGCAACCTCCAGCATTTTACAGGAGAGGAAACCGAGGCTCAGAGAGGTCAAATGACTTGCCCAAGGTCACACAGCTCTTTCCGCTCTGGTCAGGGGGGGCTCTCCCATGGCTCAGCGTAATGGATTTGGGCTGACATTTTTGTGTTTGAATCAATAATAATTACATCTGTGCCTCAGTCTTTCATTAGGTCTGTGGCCTCCCTGCCAGGTCAGAGTGGGGACACCTGGAGGGCAAGGACTGTGTCTTTGCTCACAGAATAGAAGCTCCCTGCAGCGAAGTGTATGTTTTCCCCATGTTCTGGGAACGTCCAAGGCCAGAGCTGTGTCTCCCCTATCAGACTGGGAAATCCCCCTGTTACGCTGGAGGCTTCCTGGGGCAGGGGCTGCTTTTCTTGCTCAGACTGAGAGCTCCCTGAGGACAGGAGCCGTGTCTCATCAGTCTAAGAGTCCTCCAAGGCAAGACCTAGATCTTCCCTGTTACAGTGGGAGCTCCCCAGGGCCAGGGCTATTGTCCCCAATCAGACTGGCAATTTTCAGAAGCAGGGACAAGGTCTTCAGACTAGAGCAGTTTCCCTTGCATGGCATCCAGGTCCTGCACCCAGAGGAGCTCAGCAAGTGGTGACTATCTGGTTCACTGTCCCTGGCAGTCTCCACCCTGGGGCTCTACGGGTCAAGAGGCAGAGTTCTCTGTGTGAGGCCAGGTTGGCACAAAGGCACGTGTAGGGGTAGGTGGGGCTCTGGCTGTTCTGAGGCCTAGGGGGGGCTGAGAGGCCCCTTCCTATTGGACAGGTGGCACTTTGGGGGCACAGAGCCTCAGGGCGGCAGGGGAGATGGGTAGGGACTAGCTCAGGACTGTCAAGGCCAGTCCACCGATGAGTACCCCCCAGGGCAGATGTTTCAACTCTTATCTCCCCTCCCCCCTTCCAGGAAGCTCATCTTTGCTGCCTTCCATCCCATCTACACTGCCTGAATTCCTTCCATACCTGGAAACCTCCCCTTCCCCAATCACACAGAAGTCCTCATTTCCTAAAT